TTTAAGAGACAGAGTTTCACTCTTATTGCCCAGGCTGGAGGGCAGTGGCATGATCTCAGCTCACTGCAACCTCTGCCTCCCAGGTTCAAGCAGTTCTCCTGCCTCAGCCTCCCAGGTAGCTGGGACTACAGGCATGCACCACCATTCCTGGCTAATTTTTGTATTTTTAGTAGAGACAGGGTTTCACCATGTTGGCCAGGCTGGTCTCGAACTCCTAACCTCAGGTAATCTGCCTGCCTTGGCCTCCCAAAGTGTTGGGATTACAGGCATGAGCCACCGCACCTTGACACACCTAGCTAATTTTTGTATCTTTTTGTAGAGACAGGGTTTTGCCTGTTGGCCAAGCTGGAACTCCTGGGCTCAAGCGACCCTCCTGCCTCGGCCTCCCACAGCACTAGGATTATAGGTGTGAGCCACTATGCCCAGCTGGGAGCTTGCTTTGGACACATTGATTTTGAGATGCTTGTTAGACGCCCCACTGGCGACTTCAGGTGGGCATCTGGTCTCTAGTGCAGTCTGAACTGGAGCTCGTACTTGGTGACTCCTACGCATATGGAAGGCACTTGAAGCCTGGAGAGACGCTGGGAGGCGAGTGTGGGCTGGTGAGGAGGGGCCTTGGAGAGAGGCAGGCGGGCTCCACTGCAGCAGCTTCAAGCACATGTCCCGCCTGTCCTCCTGGCAGCTGGCGATGGACGGGCTCCAGTCTGGTGGGCAAGTGTGAGCACAGCCCTGCTGTAAAATGGTGTCAAGAAACGGGTCTTATAGTGGTTTTGACCTGGGGTGGGGGTGACAGCCCACGTGTGCCGATGGTGATCCAGCAGCCAGTGGGCAGCCCTCTCCCACTGATTCGGTTTCCTCAGTGAAATCAGACGGCTGGCCATCAGCTGAGCCTGGGGGGCAGAAGTCTTCCATGGGAGGCTGGAGTGGGACAGCCCCAGGAATTCAAGGTGGCCCATGCTGGTCTCCGGCCCCGTCCCACTGCATAGGGAGAGTGGGTTTAACTTGGGCTCTGGCTCGGTGGGTGGTGAGGGCCAGGGTGAGCCTGAGGGACGAGAGAGGGTGAGGCTGCAGGAGGGACAGGCGGCAGCTCTTCTCAGTTTTGACCCCTGGGGCCACTCCCCTCACCTCCTGATGCTTCCCAGGAGGTCCCTGCTGCTGAAAGGTCACCACCCTGACAGTGGTCAGCAGGCTTTCCTGCCACCTCCAGCAGCCCTGGCCTCCAGCCCAAGGGCCAAGCACACGTGACTGACTTTGCCCCACACCTGGGGCCACACGCTTCCCTCCACTGCAGCACCTGCCCTTCTCTGTGCCATCAGGCCCTTCTCCCTCCAGTCGCGCACCACCAGCTCAACTGCTGCCTCCCCCACAAAGCCTCCCCTTCACTTCCGTTTCTCCCTTCCCTGTGACGGGTTTCAGTCACCTAAACAGCAGAAGCTACACAGCAGAAGCTTCTCAGGGCTGAGGTCAGGGCCTAGAGCAGCCTCCCTAAGCATTGCTGGTGCCAGCCGGAGGCTGACCCCAGTCCCCTCCCCAGGTGTGCCTTCTTCCATGGTGAGGTTGACAAGCCGGCCCCAGGCTTTTTGCACCGGGGCGGGCGCAAGCCAGTTTCTGTGGCCATCAGTCTGGAAGGCGTGCACGTCATCGACAGCAGAGAGAAGGTACTGCCCCCAGCTCCTCCAGGGTGGAGAGGATGGGAGGGATGTCCTGACCCAAGCCTTGCTGGTTTCCCTGGGCCTGTGGGGCCTGGGGACAAGATGGGTGGACTGCCTGAGAGGGACCTTGCCTCCCTCAGACGTTCTTCTAGCCCCTGAGGGTGTTCCTGGGTCCTCTTGCCCAGCATGCTAGGCTTCGGGGTGGCCGGGCAGGGGAGGCTGCAGCTGGGATTTCCACCCCTGAGTGGAGGGAGGGCAGCAGGGCCCACTGCTCTGCCTGGCTGATAGCTAGAGAACAGCCTGGTGCTCCAGAAGACCCTGCAGTGGGCAGCCCTCTTGGGCTGACCATGTCCTCTTCTCCATGCATTTGGTGGCCAGCCCTGGGTACAGGGCCACATCAGCAGCCAGCCCCATAGGGCAGATTCCCTGTCCCTGGGCAGGAATTTGCTCCTAAGCCAGCAGAAGGGTTTTGGCTGTCTTCTGGCTGTCCCAGAAGAGGGACCCCAGCCCCTCCTGCCTTCTGTGCCCTGGGAGGTGGGGCCCAGCTCAGCCGCAAGCTAGATGCCACCCCCCGACTTCATAGAAGAGACTCCCCTTCCCTCCTCCCAACATGCCTCCCCAGCTGTCAGGAGCTTGGCCCGCTGGTGGGACTGTTGTGGAAGAGGGGATCTCAGCTTCCCTGGACTGCAGTCCCAGGAGGCTCTGATGAAAGCTGAGGCTCCCCTCCTTAGAGAAACACACGAAAGAATGTACACTTGGCCTTGGAGAGGCACACGCCCTAGCCAGGTGTCCTCTCCTGGTGGTGCCTGAGTGGGATGGTGCTGGGAGCAGGCCTCTGCCCAGGGGTCAAGCCTGGCTCTGTGTCGCCTGCTGGCCAGCACGTCCTGCTGGGCCTGCGCTTCCAGGAGCTGTCATGGGACCACACCGCCCCCGAGGAGGAGGAGCCCATCTTGTGGCTGGAGTTTGATGGGGAGAGCGAGGGCATGCCTGTCAACAAGCTTCTCAAGATCTACTCCAAGCAGGTAGCGTGGGCGGTGCCTGCACACGGGTGGGGAGGCTGCACCCTGTTGCCCCGGGTCCCAGTCTGGCGGGGAAGGAGGTGAGAAGCTGCCTTGGGCCTGAGGATGAAGGTGGCACCTGGGCAGGAGGGGTGCCTGCCTCCTGCAGACCCGGAGCCACCCTGGGAGGTCAGGAGGCCTGGTCTCAACAAACAGCTGCCGGTGGCTTGGCAGCTGCAGGGGTGGGGGTCGGGCAGCTGTTTGTTGAGGGCTTGCCCAGCGCTTTGAGACCAGCCTTCGTCTTCCCCTCCTGTCCCCAAGGCCGGTGCTGTTGTGACCCTGCTTACAGTCACCTGCAGTGGGCGGGAAGCATTGGGCCCCTCCAAGCCTGTGTTTGATTTTCCCCTTCATTCAGCGCGTTTTACTCAGCACCGAGCGCCTCCTCCACCCCAGCCTCCTCCCCTGCCCCTTCCTCTCCCACTCGGGTCACATCAGAGCCCACCCTGCCACGGGTCCCTTTCAGGACCGTTCCCACCCCCTCCTGCCTGCCCCTTGGGTCTCTGGACCCTTCATCCCCACACTGCTCTGGCTTCCTTTTGGTGCCCCTCCCCACCTTCACTCCTCTTCACAGCCAGGCCCCACCCCTGTGCCACTGTGACCAGACACTGGAAAGATGTTTTCAATTTTGATGAAATCCAGTTTATCAATTTTGGCTTTTATGGTTTATGCTTTTTGTTCTCCAAGAAATTTTAGAAATTTTAGAGACCACAAAGGTTTTCTCATGTTTTCTTGTAGAAGTTGTATAAATTTAAACCTACCAGCCATCCCAAGTCGATATTTTATATCAGGTGTGATATACAGGTCAATGCTCGTGTTCCTGTTTACAGATACTCCATTGTTTTGGTGTCATTTGCTGAAAAGACATCGAGCTGGCTGGGTGTGGAGGCTCAATGCCTGTAATCCCAGCACTTTGGGAGGCCAAGGCAGGCGGATCACAAGGTCAGGAGTTCAAGACCAGCCTGGCCAACATAGTGAAACCCCATCTCTACTAAAAATACAAAAAATTAGCCAGATGTGGTGGCAGGTGCCTGTAATCCCAGCTACTTGGGAGAATGAGGCAGGATAATCACTTGAACCTGGGAGTCGGAGGTTGCAGTGAGCCAAGATCATGCCATTGCACTCCAGCCCGGGCAACAGTGCAAGACTTCATCTCAAAAAAAAAGAACAGGCATTGAATTGGCTGGGCACAGTGGCTCATGCCTGTAATTCCAGCACTTTGGGACGCCAAGGTGGGCAGATCTCTTTAGGCCAGGAATTCAAGACCAGCCTGGCCAACATGGCAAAACCCTGTCTCTACTAAAAATACAAAAAAATTGGCTGGGTGTGGTGGCACATGCCTGTAATCCCAGCTACTTCTTGGGAGACTGAGGCACGAGAATCGCTTGAACCCAGGAGGCGGAGATTGTGGTGAGCGGGGATGCCACCATTGCACACCAGCCTGGGTGACAGAGTGAGACTCTGTCTCAAAAAAAAGACATTGAATTGCCCTGACATCTTTGTTGAGAATCAATTGGCTGTGCATGTGTGGGTCTGTTTCTGGATTCTCTCTTCTAAACCATTGACCTATGTGTGTCTTTGACTAATAATCACCCTATATATTGATTTTTGAACCTTTATAATAAGCCTTGCAATCAGGTAGTGTGATGTCCAGAACTTTGTTCTTTTCAAAATTGTTTCAGCTATTCCAGTCCCTTTGCATTTCCACGTAAGTGTTAGAATCAGCTTGATTTCCAACACACTCCCCCACTCCTACCCCCCAAAACAAGGCTGCCTAGGATTTTTATTGAGATTGCATTGATTACTTTGGAGGTAATTGACCGCTTAAGTCTTCCAATCCATTTATTTCTATATTTCCATTTATTTGTCTTTGATTTCTTTCATTAACATTTTAGTTTTCAGCATACAAAGCTTGTGCATCTTTTGTTAAGATTTATCCCTGTTTCTTTTGGTGTTACTAGAAATGTGACTGTTTTTAATTTCAGTTTCCAGTTGATATTTCCTTATATAGAAATACAATTGTTTCTGTTTTTTAGGAAGCAGTCTCGCTCTGTCACACAGGCTGGAGTGCAGTGGTGCAGTCATACCTCACTGCATCTTTGACCTCCTGGGCTCAAATGATTCTCCCGAGCCACAAGAGGTGTGCATCACTATGCTGGGCAAATTTGATTTGATTTCATTTCGGTTGATTTCATTCATTTTTTGATTTGACAAGGTCTTATACTATGTTGCCCATGCTAATCTGGAACTCCTGGGCTCCAGTGATTCTCCCACCTTGGCCTCCCAAAATGCTGGGATTACAGGCATGAGCCCTGTGCCTGCCTGGGACTTTTTTCTTTTCTTTTTTTTTTTTTTTTTTGAGATGGAGTGTCGCTCTGTCACTCAGGCTGGAGTACAATGGCGCTATCTCAGCTCACTGCATCCTCCACCTCCCCGGTTCAAGCAAGTCTCTTGCCTCAGCCTCCACTCAGGAGCTGGGATTAAAGGCACCTGCAACCACGCCCAGCTAATTTTTGTAGTTCTAGTAGAGTCGGGGTTTCACCACGTTGGCCAGGCTGGTTTAGAACTCCTCACCTCAGGTGATCCACCTGCCTCAGCCTCTCAAAGTGCTGAGATTACAGGCGTGAGCCACCGTACCCGGCCTGGCCTGGGACTTTCTATGTAGACAGTTCTGTGGTCTGTGAGTGGTCTGTGAGCTGGGTCTCACTTTCCAATCCATGTGCCTCTTGCTTGCTTTGCCTGACAGTGCTTCTGACCCGCAGCGTAGGATGGATACGTGTGAGCAGGCACCCCTAACACCCCTGGCCTGAGAGAGACTGTTGTCTTTCACTGAATGAGTGTGATTCAGCTGTGGATTCTTCCGAGATGCGCTTCATCAGGTCGAGGAAGCTCCTTTCTGACCCTGGCTTGCTGAGTTTAATCTTGGACGGATGTTCAGCGGAGCTTCCTCTTTTGGCTGCGTTTTGACGGCGAGCTCCCTGAGCCTCAGAGGCATCTTGCTGTGCAGTAGTTTTTGTTCTAGGGACTTAGAGGGCTTCCCTGTTATGGTTGCAGCTTGGGACTCTCTATCCCCACCCACTGGCTGCTGTCCCCTCGCCAGCCCACTGCCCTTTGGCTGGTGGCGTCCAGTTAGTAAGCAGCGGAGGGCAGGTAGACTGAGCTTTGGGGGCAGGGAGGGTGGAGAGCCCACCACCCTGTGCTCTTCCTTCTGGGGCAGGCAGCAGTGCCCCCCGCTCCCCCAGAGGGGTTGCAGCTGCCCTGTGGAAAGGCAGGAGCCAGGCCAGTCTCTGCAGGGCCACTCCCAGCGCCTGACCCAGCCCCACGAGTCAGGAGTACAGGTGGGCATTGCTGTCCGAGTGGCCTCACCTTATCCCAGGCCTGCAGCAGTGCCTGGCATGTGGGAGGCACTCAGGAAATACCTGTGTCCTGACTCAGGGGTGCTACCCTCTTGACACCCTCTGTCTGTGACTCCCTCAGACCCTGAGGGCCCTGTCCTTGGTGCCCAGCTGTGCCCACTGGTACCTGGCCACTGTCAGTGTGCCTCATGCTTCACACCTGTTGAGCGGGAGTCACTTTTGAAGAATGTGCTGGTGGGGAGCCGCCTGCCCCTGCCCTGGTGACAGTGACATTGCACCCCTTCCTCCTGGCTGCAGGTTTTCCTCCTAGCCAGCATCTCCTCCTTTTTGCCCCGCTTCCTCCCCTCTTCGTCCTCTCTGCAGTGCCAGGCTTCCTTCCCCCTGCATTCCCCACCTGATTCTGCCCGTGGAGTCAGCCTTCCTGGGCTGTGCCTTCTGACTAGAATGTTCTTTCCCACCCGACCTCTCAGACCTAGGGACCCCTCATCCACCAGGACTCATCTTCACAGCCACCCAAGCGGGACACCTCCCCTGTCTCCCCCCTCCCTCCCTCCTGAGTGGTATGTGTCCCCTCGCCTGCCTCCCCCACCAGAGAGCAGAGCTCATTTCAGGCTCAGCAGCAGCCATGGAAGTGGGGCCTGGCCAGGCCTCACACCGGCCCCTCTTCCCCAGGCGGAATTGATGAGCAGCCTCATTGAGTACTGCATCGAACTGAGCCAGGCCGCAGAGCCCGCAGGCCCCCAGGACAGTGCGACTGGCCCGCCCTTGGACCCCGGCTCCTCGCCGGCTCCTGTTCAGCGCCCCAAGCTGCGGAGGCAGGGCAGCGTGGTGTGTAGCCGGATCCAGCATCTCTCCACCATCGACTACGTGGATGATGGTGAGCTGCCCCTCTGTACACGTGCACACACAATCACAACTGTACACGCACAGGCCAGGGAGTTCCTGAGGCCAGGGCATTGCAGAGCAGCTCCACACCCAGTGTGAGCTGGCCTCCATCTCAGGACCCGGCTGAGAGCAGGATGAGCCCAGGCTTTGGCCGTAGTGCCCTTTCTGTCCCTTCTCACTGCTGCATCACAGATGCATTCTGCAGCATTGTCCAGAATGTGATCCTGAAAACTACTCATCATCTGTTATTAAAGTGTTGGGTAGGCTGGGCACAGTGGCTCATGCCTGTAATCCCAGCACTTTGGGAGGCTGGGAGGATCACCTGAGGTCGGGAGTTCAAGACCAAGCTGGCCAACATGGTAAAACCTCGTCTCTACTAAAAACACAAAAAAATTAGCCAAGTATGTGGCAGGTGGCTGTAATCCAAGCTACTTGGGAGGCTGAGGCAGAAGAATCGCTTGAACCCAAAGGCAGAGGTTGCAGTGAACCAAGATCGCCTCATTGCATTCCAGCCTGGGAGATGGAGCAAGACTCCATCTCAAAAAAATAAAATAAAATGTTGGGCAAATCACTGCTGTGACCACATCCTGGGGTGTTCAGTGCAGCTGGTAAAAATGTAGTACATAGGCCAGGCGCAGTGGCTCACACCTGTAACCCCAGCACTTTGGGAGGCCAAGACAAAGAGGATCGCTTAAGCCAGGAGTTCAAGACCAGCCTGGACAACATAGTGAGACCAGGTCTCTACAAAATATACTTAAAATTAGCTGACTGTGGTGACATTTGCCTGTAGTCTCACCTACTTGGGAGGCTGATAAGGCAGGAGTATCTCTTGAGCCCAGGAGTTGAAGGTTTGCAGTGAGCTACGATTACACCACTGCACTCCAGCCTGGGTGACAATGATGAGACCCTATTTTTAAAAAGAAATACCCCAAGCCAGGCATGGTGGCTCATGCCTGTAATCCCAGCACTTTGGGAGGCCAAGGCAGGTGGATCACCTGAGGTCAGGAGTTTGAGACCAGCCTGACCAACATGAAGAAACCCCATCTCTACTTAAAATACAAAATTAGCCGGGCATGGTGGCGCATGCCTGTAATCCCAGCTACTCGGGAGGCTGAGGCATGAGAATTGCTTAAACCCGGGAAGCGGAGGTTTCGGTGAGCAAAGATCGCGCTATTACATTCCAGCCTGGGCAACAAGAGCAAAACTCTGTCTCAAAAAAAAAAAACAAAAAAAAACAGGGTTTTACACTCTGGTGCCCAGGCTGGAGTGCAGTGGCCTAGTCATGGCTCGCTGCGGCTGCTCTAGCAATCCTCCTTCCAGTCTCCTGAGTAGGTGGGACTACAGGCATGAGCCACCACTCCCGGCTAATTTTTAAATTTTTTGTAGAGACAGACAGCATCTCACTATGTTGCCAGGTCTCGAACTCCTCAAATAATCCTCCTACCTCGGCCTCCCTAAGTGCTGGGATTACAGATGTGAGCACTGTGCCCAGCGAATGTGCGGATTTTGAAGAGGCTTTTCATACCTGCCACAGCGTTTCAGAGAGGTTGTGCCCAGGGGTACCCTTCCCAGCAGAGAAGATGGCATCTGCCTCCCATGCCCTCATCCACAATGGGTGTAATCATTCCAAACCAGAGGGGACTTGTTTGAGCTGGTGTTTGAACCCGTGAGATTGGAATTTTGTTGTTGTTGTTTTGAGGCGGAGTTTTGCTCTTGTTGCCCAGGTTGGAGTGCAGTGGCGCAATCTCGGCTCACTGAAACCTCTGCCTACTAGGTTCAAGCGATTCTCCTGCCTGTTGGTCAGGCTGGTCTCGCACTCCCGACCTCAGGTGATCCACCCACCTTGGCCTCCCAAAGTGCTGGGATTACAGGCGTGAGCCACCAGGCCCAGCCAAGATTGGAAATTTTTGTGTACTTGATCATATTTAGATTTTCTTCCTGAATTACTGATGATTTCTTTTGCCAGTTTTTCTTCTGTTGCTTGACTTTTTAAAATCAACATTTTGGCCAGGTGAGATGGCTGTAATCCCAGCACTTTGGGAGGCCGAGGCAGGCAGAGAGGGCTTGAGTCCAGGAGTCCAAGACCAGCCTGCGCAACATCACACTTCTCTGGGTGCAATGTAGCAAGACCCCATCTCTATTTAAAAGATGAGCAGGCCATGGTGGGGCACGCCTGAAGTGCACGCCCAGCTAGTTGGAAGGCTGAGATGGGAGGATCACCTGAGCCCAGAAGGTCAAGCCTTCAGTGAGTTATGATCACACCACTGCAGTCCAGCGTGGGTGACAGAGTGAGACCCTGTCTCAGATAATAATAATAATAATAATAATGTCTTGGCCAGGCACAGTGGCTCACACCTGTCATCTCAGTACTTTGAGAGACTGAGGTGGGAGGCTCACCTGACCCCAGGAGTTCAAGACCAACCTGGACAACCAAGCAAAACCTTGTCTTTACACAAACTAAAAAAAGTACCCATGGCTCACACCCGTACTCCCAACCACTGAGGATGCTGAGGTGGGAGGATCACTTGGGATTGGGAGGGAAGGCTGCAGTGAGCCATGATTGCATCACTGCACTCCAGCCTAAGCAACAGAGCCTGTCTCAAAAAAAGAACAAAGGCTGGGTGCAGTGGCTCATACCTGTAATCCCAGCACTTTGGGAGGCTGAGGCAGGTGGGTCACAAGGTCAGGAGTTTGAGATCAGCCCGGCCAATATGGTGAAAATACAAAATTAGCTGGTTGTGGTGGTGCACACCTGTAGTCCCAGCTACTCCGGAGGCTGAGGATTGAGTCGCTTGAAGCCAGGAGGCAGAGATTGCAGTGAGCCGAGATCGCACCATTGCATGCAGCCTGGGCAACTAAGCAAGACTCTGTCTCAAAACAAACAAACAAAAAACCACTAACATCTTACAGCAATATGGTATTTTTGTTTTAATTAGCGACCCAGTATTGCTATTCTTAGCCAGAGTGCCTCCCTTATTCCAATTTCCGTAGTTCCCGATGTCCTTCTGTACCAGGATCCCAGCAGGACCCCACACTGCATTTAGTTGTCATGTCTCCCCAGGCTTCTCTTGGCTATGATGGACATCCCTTGTTTGTGATGGCCTTAGGTTGGCAGCATTAGGGGGCACTGGTCGGGTATACTGCAGCATGATGAGTGGGGGTGAGGCTCACATGAGGAGCTCACACGACCAGGCTCCTGAAGGAGCTGTCGCGATATAGCCAGAACCCAGCTTCCTGGGCCTGGGCCCCCTCACGCGGGGCTGGCCTCTCTGCTGAGTGTGCCTTCCCATTCCCTCGCAGGCAAGGGGATCAGGCGAGTGAAGCCGAAGCGCACCACGTCCTTCTTCAGCCGGCAGCTATCCTTGGGCCAGGGGAGCTACACCGTGGTGCAGACTGGTGACAGCCTGGAGCAGGGCTGAGGACACTGTGCCAGGCAGGAGGGAGGGCACCTGGGGGCCCTGGCCCGGCACTGTCCTGAGGGACAGGGGCTGGTGCAGCAGTCTCATGGGTCACACACATGGGAGGGCTGCCGTGGCACTCAGGGTCTGCAGATTCCTCAGACCACAGAGAAGTGACTTCTGGGACCCACTATCTCAGGACCATCCAATCAGACTCCAGCTGCCACTCTTGCCCAGAGACGTGCCTTTGTGCCCACTTCAAGTGTCCCCTATTCTGAAGTGCACAGTGGCTGCTCCAGTGGCAGAGAACCAAGGATTGAGGCTTCGGACCTGAAGGTCCAGTGTGTGCCTTTGGCCTCTTCCCCGGACTTGGGTGACCACAGCTCCACCTTCCTCCTGCTGGTTCTCCACACCCCACTGCCAGGCTGGGCTGCCACTCTGAGGAGGGCAGGAGGGGCCTCCCTGGATTGAGGGCCCCCACCACACCTCCCTGGTTGAATCAGGAGTGGAGGGAGCCAGGCAGAACCCTACGTGGGGTCCTGTGCCCCTCACTCTGGTCTCCCTTGCAGGCATAAGACACTCTGACCAGAGAAACATGCCTTTGATAACGTCTGGTGATGTCACTGCTGGGAGGTGACTGTCCTGTGGACTACCTGGCCCCCAGACCCATACTCACACTCTGTGAAAAACTTCTGAAAATCCCCTGGTGGGCACTCCCTGGAGCCCAAGCAGCTCCCCCAGGGGAATGACCGGACCTGCCCTCTCCTCCATGTCTGGGTTTAGGTTTTAGTTTGGTCTTTGTTCATCTGCTTTGGTGCCACGAAGTGTGTGAATGCGGCAACTCCAGGAAACGCCCTGGGTAACCTCAGTGATGTGGCGTTCCTTCCCAGGCGATGCTGTGGGTTCCTCTGGGGGCTGGTGCATGCACTGGTGCACCTCAGAGGGTCCCAGGTTTGGGAAAACCCTCCTCTTGGGCTCCGCATATCTGGGAAAGGGCAGGCCCTGCTTCTCGGAGGGGAAGCTGGGACCAGAGAAGCAAAGCACCCATGTCAAAGCCACCTTTCCAAGCGTCCTCAGTAGCCTTTGGTGATGTCACTTTGTGTCCTCACACAGGACAGTTTGTTCTCTCTCTCAACGCTTGGAAAGGTGGCTTTCACTTGGGTGCTTTGCTTCTCTGGTCCCAGCCTCCCCTCCCAGAAGCAGGGGTTCTGTCTTTTCCCAGATGAGTGGAGCCCCTCAGAAGAGGGCTTTCCCAGTCCCGGGACCTTCCGAGGTGGGTGTGTGGGTCTCACAGGTGCTTCCAGGGACTTCCCACAGGAAGGAGGCAGGCCTGGGGCAGCACAGGGCTTTGCTTTGTCTTCCCTTCCTGGTGGAAACTGTGGGAGAGGAAGCTTGGCCTCTACTCCAAGTATCAGAGTCCGTTCACCTCCCCCTCTGTTGGTAGCTTGTGAATGTGCCAGGTGTTTTGGGGTGGGCTTGCCTTCTGGCAGCAGGGACTTTGTTAAAATAATAGGCAGAAAGAAGAGGCCTGGCAAGGGCCCCCAGGCTTTTGGAATGTCCTGGCCACAGAGTGATGTCAGCTGCCACCTCTCATGTCCCCTCCTGGAGTCGCCCGGCCCCACCGAGCCGCCCGCCTGCCCTATTCTGGCAGCTCCAGCACAGGTCGTCTCAGCCCCACTGTTTGG